GCATATTCATCAGCCAAAATGGGGTTGAAAATTACCCTCCTTTACGTTATAACAAATCTACCTTCGGCGTTCCTAACCGATTCCTTTTATATAAAGCCAAGATCTCAATGTTGTGAGATTTTCAAGAAAAATATAATCCATTAAATCATTATAAACTGTTCAGTTATTGAACTCAATTTTGAAATGCATTATAGGACACTGTAAAGTCCTTGCATTAAGGTTGTCAGGTACCCATTCTGACTGAGTTTCTATAAAATAAATGTTTGTTGTACATTGAGTTTATGAAATATAAACCAGTCATAATACCTGATTTACATCCGTAGAGCTCAATTCTCATCGAAGGCCAACCATTCATACCAGTTTTTGGGAGGACTCTAATATATCTCGCTTTGACTGGAGGTTCAAGGTCATGCTTCACAACAGTAATCTTATCAGTGTTTCCTTTGAAGACAAAACCTGCTTTGTAATCCTCGAAGGTGCTGCCATCCGAACTGTACTGCAGGCTGTAKCTTTTCATCCACTCTGAATTGTACTTTGAACCTTGTGTTGYGATGGCATCTACAGTGTGAACTGTGCTCAGGTCGACCTGTAACCAAGGATCGACTGCATCGACTGCAAGTATCCTTGTCTTGGGGGTCCAGCCATAACTATCCGTGTTCAATCTTGCTTTCCAYGGAGCGTATCTGTTATCATATTGAGAAGAGGCGGTGATCTTGGCATTGGGAATGGCGTTGTTCTGCATCCCAAGAGGTTGACTCGTTGCGCATTTTAGGTCTGTAGTGAATAATGAACGATGAGGGTTTTTTCATAATGATATATATCTAACTTTTAAAAGTAAGCGAGTAGTGTAGTGCCTGTACTGAATTGCAACTTAGGGAACCTCTCCTAGCAGTTACAACGATGAACAATGATGATTCAGCGGGAGTAACCACGGGGAGAAGGGGAGGGATGGGGATCCACGGGTAACCACTGGAAACAGTGTGGAGCTACGTGGTGCCATGGGTAATATAACTGCTTGTGTTAGGTGACGATGTTTGTCTATTGATTCTGTTGATCTTTCAATGAGTTAATTTGTCATGACCTTGTTTTGTAGGCTCAATGGAAAGATCGTTCTTATTTAAGCCTAGTCCGGGACCTAAAATCGCCGTAATTTTGGGCGATTGTAGGCGATTTTAAGCGATTTTAGGCGATTTAAGCAAAAATCACCAAAAACCCATATAAATATAAGGCGATTTACTGCGATTTTGGGCGATTTTAGGCGATTTTAGGCGATTTTAAGCGATTTTAGGCGATTTAAGCAAAAATCACCAAAAAACCATCTAAATCTAAGGCGATTTTGGGCGATTTTGGGCGATTTTAGGTCCCGGACTAGGCCTTTATTTGCCAATTACAAACTATGTGATTAGGTCGCTTAACACAATCTGAGGTTGATGAAGCTCAACCAGAAAGACTTTCCGCAGTCGCAGTGTGTAGTAGGAGAATTTCCGAACTCAAGCA